CAGTGCCTGTTGTTTAATGCTTGAGATTAAATCCTTCAACAGTGGTTCTTTAATATCCACTGGAATCTAATTCTTAGCTGCTCTTAGTAATCAACAGAGCCCACAGGGACATTAAGAAACTAAACACAAATATATATGAAATACACCTATGAGACTGGTATCATGCCACATGCCTGTAATCCCAATATTTGGAAGACTGAGGTTAGAGGATCACCAGTTCAAGATGAAAACCAGACTTAGCTATAGAGACCCTACTTCAAAACAAAATAAAAAAATCCTCAGGTTGAATATTGAGTCAATTTCTTACTACTGACACACTCACATATATGTGTATATATTTTTAAGTTATATAATTAAAACATATCCCCCTATTATGGACAGGTATTTATTTTAATGAGTGAGAAATTTGTTCCCAATGATGTGCACTGGGAAAAGTAAAAAAAAATGCAACCGTGAACACTGCAAGACTGTCTGTCATTTAATAAGTTCCGATAGCTTCACAAAAATATGTACCTCACATCCATCCTCCAGAATCCTTTTATATTAGAACTATTCTTAGATCTTTTTCTACCTCATCCCACTAAGGAGAAGTTTCGAGCTTTCTCTGTCAAAGAACTTTTTTTTTTTTTTTAGATCAAAAGCACAATGTAACTAATAGAATATTGAGTTGGGTGAAATGGTAAACCTTGTGAAATAATTCATTTTTTTTAGACCTAGGAAATGCTAGCTTCCCAAATGAGAGTTAATTTAGCAGGTATTGGTGAACAGAGGGATGCAGACATACCTGAAAGTGTACTTATCTCTGAAAAGTTTTCAAAAGAAGTTTTGATATAGGTAAACCTACACCCACAATATTAATTTCATGTAAGACTACTAACTCTGTAGAAAAAAAAATCCTTTAACATTCAAGCAGAAGTGCAGCATCTTAGGTTTCACTACATTCTCCTAAAGTTAAAGTACTAAACTATTTGATGGTTAGCATGTCCTAATGCAAATCTTGGAAAATATGAGACTTCTAGCTAGCATGAAAGTATGTGGAAGGTAACAGCAGAGGACTTAGTTCCTATTTAAAATATCAGTCTTAAGCTGCTCATTGGCTTAAATAATTTACTGTCATAAAAATTTGTATTTGCCATAAAACGTAAGTGTTATACAGATGAAATGAGGAGCTCTTACTGACATTCTTTTTAGAATCAATAATCTTAGAAATATGATCTCAAAATGTCAAAAATTAATTCTTATAATCTAAGACATTTATCTGTTAGTCTCTGTGTTTCATTCAAGTCTGTGTCTTAAACTTTTTAGCATGTAACCTAGAGAGTCACTTTTCTTTCTTCTGTTTTTTTTCCCTACTGAAGATCAACTTATCAGCAAAGTACAAAATGGTAATTAAAAATTTCTAGTTCAGTGCCAGGCACACATTGTTCTTTTAATGAATCAGATTATCTCAACATTGTAAGGATTAATTAGGTACTTGTAGCAGTTCCTTTAAATTTCTCTGAACACTCTGCCACCAGATAACTAAGTGGCAGCCTTATAAACTCAAAGAGTTAATAGAAGCTCAGAAAATCCATTACACTTAATTCCACCAGAAGAGACAGGGAGTTTTGATTAACTACAGCATTAAAATATTATTATAGTTTTTCCTTTAAACATTAACTAAAGGTTGAATAAGGTCTGTCTGAATATCGTCGGGGGAAATGGATAACAAATATTGTAAATTGTTTTCTTCTAGGAAAAATAAAAACAGACAAATACAACATTTGTAATGCAAGGTATTTTTTTTTTTTACAAAATAAGTAAATATCAAGATTTTAATAGAAATTTTTTTCAAGAAAATTTGCAAAACAGTCCAGAGTTCTCATATGCCCTTCCCCCAACTTCTAATGTTAGCATTTGCTACACCCTACATAGCAAAATAAAGCAGTTAACATTTGCATAATACCACTAACTACATTACAAGCTTTACTCGAATTTTACTGCTACCATCCGTCTGTCATCTGCCATGCATCCCAGGATGCTCTTTCCTAGCTTCCCTCTGTGCCTAGTCTTCCATCATTGTCATCTTTCAGTCTCTCTTGGCTTTCCAAGCAGAATCTCCATGAGTTTAAAGTATACTGGAGAGGAATTTCACAGAATCTCCCTCAATTTAGTCCTGCATGTTATCACATGATTGGAAACACTGAAGGGATTTAGGAGAGTGTCTCAAAGGCAGAATGTATTTCTCACCTGCTCACAGGAAGGGTGCACCAAGTCTAAGTATAATGCTGTTATGACCTAGATTGTGAGGCTAATGTATAGTTTGGGAGATTTCTCCACTGTTTATCTTTTGCTGTTCTATTATTTGAAAGTGTGGAACTAAGCCTAGCCCACATTGAAGTTGACGGGAGTAAGCATCACTTCCTGGGGAAAGGAGACTATAAATTATTTGGAAAAGCAAGATCTTCCCTTTATCTCCTGTTTTATTTAGCCAATCATTTCTCTAAGGATGTACTTATATAGTTACTTTATTAGTGTTACCCAGTTGGTTGCTTTCATCATAAGAGACTTTTCCGCATTAGCATATATCTTTTGGCACTACCCAATATACTTGTTTAAAAAATTAGGTGTTGAAGAGATGGATCGGAGTTTAACATTGCATATTGCCCTTGTAGAGGACTCCAGTTAGGTTCCCAGCATCCATGCCTAGCAGCTCACAACTGCCTCTAACTCCAGAACCAGAGAATCTGATGTCCTCACTTAGGCTCCATGGCCACCTAGATACAGGATCTCAGACATTCATGTAAACACACACACATGTGCAAACAAATATGCTTTAAAACTGAGCTTTGAGGAAGAACTTCTACCATCATTTTCTTCAGTTTAATTTCTAACTCCATTCTAAAAAATAAAAAAATAAAATCCCTATACCCACTGAAAAATGTAGTTTCACCCTCATCAAAGAAGCTTCTTCTCTGCTGTAGACAGAAGTCTACAGTTGGTCAAAATGCAGAGGACAATGAACTGTGAGGTTCCTGACCCTAACTGATACATCCACAATGCAACTCCTGTGCCCAAGGCTTCCAGAACACCACAGAAGAGTGGGCAGAAAGCTTGTAAGAGCCAGATGACCAGGACATCTGCAGTGGGATTGTGTTTTCTGTACGGCACATGGAAGCTCCACCTAAGAAGTCTCAAAAATATGGTCACCTAAACAAGACCCACATACAATAGCAATGAGAATTGGGTAAATCTCACAGGGCCCTGCCCTTAGGTACAGAACTATAGCCAATTAATGGCTGTTAGAGGGGTTTAATTAGCTTTGTCTAGGGCTAAGGCTCCTGAAGGTCACTCAATCCCCAGTGGTCTGCCCCAGATACATATACATGCAAACAATGCCAAATGGACTAAGCAGGTTACATACATATGTATGCATGCATGAATGTATATATGTATGTGTGTGTTCATGTTAGTGTGTGTACATTAACTAAAGAAGAGGCACAAATTTGAAGGGAGTTGGGGACATGGGAGGGGTTTGATGGATAGCAGGGTTGGGAGTGATGTAAATAGAGTACTCATATATGAAATTCTCAAAAAATTAAATTAAAATGGAAACAAATCTTTTTAAATAATAAAAAAACCCTAAATCTGGGTTTGTCTTTCCCATTTTTAGCTGACCCCAGAATTGGCTATTTTCTTTAACTGAAAATGGTGTTTAGAAACTGAGAATAGTAGTGCTCTGAAGAGACACCATGACCCTGGCAACTTATAAAAGACACATTTAATTGGAGTCTTGCTTACAGTTTGCTAGGGTGAGTCCATGACTATCACAGTTGGGGGTCAGAGGGAGGGCATGATGCTGGAGCAGTAGCTGAGAGCTTACATCTGATTCGTAGGCATGAGACAGAGACAGAGTGAGAGTGGGGTGGAGGCCGCATCGAAGAGAACACTAGAGTGAAATGGTATGGGCCTTTGACATCTCAAAGCCCACCTCCAGTGACAACTCCTCCAACAAGGGCACAGCTCCTAATTCCTCCCAAATGGCTCTTCAAATGGGGACTAAGTATTCAAAAATGAGCTGGGGGGGGCATTCTCATTCAAAACACCACACTTGTTAGAAGAGGTTTCCCTGCTTTTCTACTGTCTGGGAGACTGAGATCAAAAGTAGATATGCTGTCTGCCACTAATCTGCTTAAAGGGGAAGACCCATTCATTCATTCTCTCCATCATTGCTAGGAGTCCTAGCTGGGGTCATCCTTGTGGATTCCTGGGAATTTTCCTAGTACCAGGTTTCTCCCTAACCCTATACTGGCTCCCTCTATCAAGGTATCCTAATTGTCATCATAGACCCTACATCCACTGATGGATGCAGATGCAGTGAAGCACTGGGCTGAGCTCCCGGAGTTCAGTTGAAGACCCGGCCAAGACCATGATGGGGAAAACCAGAGACAGCTGACCCAATCTAGTGGGAGCTCCCTGACTCTGGACTGATAGGAGAAACTGCATGGGACCTAACTGGGCCCTCTGAATGTGGGTGACAGTTTTGTGACTTGATCTGTTAGGGGGGGTGGCAGTGGCACTATTACCTATTCCTGGTGCAGGAATTGGCTTTTAGGAGCCCATTCCCGATGGTGGGATACCTTGTTAAGCCTTGATACAGGGAGGAGGAGCTTGGTCCTGCCTCAACTTGATATGCCAGACTTTGATGACTCCCTATGGAAAGCCTTACAGCCTATGAGGAGTGGATGGGAGTGTGGGAATGGTAGGGGTAGGGGCAGGAGAAATGGAGGGAGTGGGAACTGGGGTTGGTATGTAAAATGAAAAATAATTTTTAAAATAAGACATGTGTAGTGCAAACTGAGGTAAGAATTCTGCTGGCTGGCTGTTCTGCTTTCTGATCTTTCAGCTTCCATCCTCTAACATCTGACTCCGGATTTTTACTATTAAGACCAATTAGGACTCATGCTACAGTGCAAAGTGTCTTAAGTGTTCCCAGCTACATTTCAGTAAAAAAATGAATGTACCAATTCCAGCACAGTTTTATTTACAGTTCTTTTTGTTTTTATCTAGCATACAGTCAAAACATTGCTTTTTAAAGTTAACTCAGGTCTCTTTTTTTTGCATTAAATAATGTAGCATGAAATACAATGTTTTTGCTGAAGTATTGCTTAGTGAGAGACTCTTTGCTTAGTATAGTGAAGCCTTTGGTTTGTTCTTAAGCACTGAGCAACAAAACAAAGAAAGAAAAATATACAGTATACAGCCAAGGTAGGACACCCCTGGCTCTCCTAAATTAATGAGTTGTTTGGGTTGGTGGTCTTGCAAGTAACTGAAACTCATTTTAAAGACTGACATCAAGAGATGTGTTAGTTTACAGTCTACCAAAATAACTTTGCCATACCTTAGGTGGCTTGAAGCAACCGAAACTTATTTTTTTGCAGTTCTGGCCCAAAGTCTGAACTCAAAATGTTGTCAGTGCTCTTCTTCACTGGAGGCTTCAGGGGAGAAGTTACTCTTCACTCCTTCTGGATTTTTGATCTGTGCATGCATCACTGCAATTGCAATCACTACCATCGGTCACATTGCTGCATCTTCTCTGTGCTCTTCTGTATGGTCACCTAAGGCTCCTTATCATCAGTGATGTCATCCCCTTGGTGACACCCACTTGTTATTTTAAAATAAATAAGGGAATCTCCACAGGCTCTGGATATTAGGATATGCTTGGACCTCTTGGAGAATGGTGTCCATTTGGTTCTTGTCAAACTGATACAAATCTAGATGTAATTAGAAGAGTGAACCTCAACTGAGAAAATGCCTTAAGCACAGTGGTTCTTCACAAACTTCTTTTGACAAACCTCTATCTCCACCATTATTTACATTAAGATTCATCACTGTAGCAAAATTACAGTTATGAAGTATTGATGAAAATAATTGCATGGTTGGGGGTCACCACGACACGAGGAACTGTATTAAAGAGCTGCAACATTAGGAAGGTTGAAAACCACTGCTCTAGAAGATGGCATTTTCTTGATTAATTATTGATGTAGTAGGGGGTCCCAGCCCACTGTAAAAAGTATCATCCTGGAGCTGTAGTTGTTGTGATATCCAAGAAAGCAAAGTGAGCAAACCTTGGAGAGCAGCCCAAGAAGCAGCATTCCTCCATGGTCTCTGCTTCAGTTTGTGCCTTGAGGTTCCTTCCTTGAGTTCATTCCTATTTCAACTTTCCTTCATGATGGACTATAACTGTCAAGTGAAATAAACCCTTTCCTCTACCAGTTGCCACTAGGCAATGTTTTATGACAGGAAAACCAAACAGAAATCAAGCTAAGAAATCATTTGAATTGTCGCATTGGAAGTCAGCAGTTTGCAGGGTTTGTTTTTATTCCTGTACCAAGTTCCCTATATTGAGCTTTCACCTGTGGGCTCTGTGTCTTAACTTCCTCATGATAAATTCTCCCCATTGAATTGAGCCCATTTCATAGGTGTCATTCTTCCAGGATGATTTTCCAGAGATGGGAGCATCACCCAAATGTTACTAGGTAAGCTGTGCTTAAAAATTATGCTTAATAAAATTCTCATTTAAATGATTAAAAAACACTCAATATTGCCTTCTACATTCCCCCTTTCCCATGGAAGCCAGCATAAAGTTCCCCCTTTCCCATGGAAGCCAGCATAAAATAGTTCTGAAGACCATCAGCTGGACAAAAATTCTATCTGTGTTCAAACACAGACCTCTCTTAAGTACAGTATCTTATGCAGGCTTTCTATGCCTGCATTTTTCCCCATAGGCTTTCTGAAGATCTTACACAAAGGCAAGGAGGCACTTGTGAGCAGTGTCTGGGATGAAGGGTGACTGCACCACCAGCTATCAGTCTGAGCCATCAGTGTGCCCCCCTCTCAGGGTAACTCCGTAGTGGGAAGCTCAACTCTCCATCCACTCTCACAGTATTTTGTGGTTAAAATGTTTGCAGAAATTTCAAGGGAAAATCCAAAGGTACTGGATAGTTCTGACACAAAACACCCGCCACAGATAATATAAAGGCATAAGGAAGAGTGTAACTGAGTGAAATAAAAATCGCCATTTTAGAACCAGGAAAATTGGTTCGTTCTAAGAGAGAAACCCTGCTGTTCGGAGAATTTGTTCACCTTTAGGTCACTGGTTCTCGTTCAACTTGTGACAAAAGTAATTGAAAATCACTGTCGTTTAAAAACTCTTCCATGCCAACTTAGGAAACAGTTGTTTGCCTCACTCTGGTTAGAGGTGACAAAGCCCACATCACAGTGAACATTCATCACACGGAATGTAAGTTTTCAATCAGTGACTTTCTTCAGAGATCTCTGAGAGGCCTGGTGGGAGACAGAGGGAGTGTGTAGCAAGTTTCCTCTGCTGAATTTGATATGGATGTAAGCAATTATACTTCATAAATCCTATGGAAAAGTTGACACCATGAAATTCTGGATAAAGATGTTGAAGTTCAATTTAAAATTATTTTATACTCTGAATACCTTAATGGATCATATTGAAGGACTATATACTATTTAAAACTTTGACAAGACATAGTCATAGTAGGCACCTCAAAATATAAATTTACATGGTAAATACTTAATAGTAAATAAAATTGTCATCTTGTTTCTTTCATGTTCATGTGCCTGCTAACCAGAAGAACTGTAAGTAACAATACAGTGAAATTTAAATGTGTTTTATGAATATAGTGCTCAAATAGATTTTAATGCTAATTATTTACCACTACCAACACAGCTAAGAGTCACATAACATCTACAGTGTGCTAGATATTATCTGATCAATGTATTAAGCTACTAAATATTCTTATGTAAGGAACACATTTTGAAAAGCCAAGGAGCCTAGAGGTAAAGTGAATTTCTAATGTTATAAATGTTAGAAATTGTGGCAGTCAGGACACAATTGTTTTTAAATCAACAAGTTTTCCTTGTCCTGTTGAAATCCTTGTTCTGTCCTAACATAGATTTCCAGCCTCCTACCTGCCACACTAGCCAAACTCCATTGGGAAGAATCTATGATAGCTTCAGAAATAAGTTTCTCAGACCTACTATCATTTGTTCTATTTACTCTGTGAATATACAAATCTCAGCTTCATTTCAATATTTAGAATGGCATCCACAGGCTCCGCCCACCTTTTTGCAGCATCAGCTAGGTAGGTGCCTTTTGATGAGCAAATATATGGTGAAGAAACGGAAAGAGAAAGAGAAAGAGAAAGAGAACGGCTCATGTGTCATCCAAAGAGGCAAAACTGAAGACAAGAAGACAGTGAGGAACAGGATGATGCTGGTGGCCTGCTTGCCATCTGGGGCTCGGATGACCTCTGGGCCCAGATTGCTGTCAAGGGCCATGTCTGGGTCCATGGTACTATCAAGGTTGTGGTCTGTGTTGACATCCATGACCCATGATGCCACCAAAGGCGACAAGGCTGCTTGGGGTCTGGGCTACCACCTGTGGCCATGTTGGTGTCCAAGGGCTGTGCCACTGTCAGGGCCATGGTCTGTGCTGCTGCGTGGGGCCATGGTGATATCTGGGTCTGAGCTGCTGCTGAGAGCCATGTCTGGCGCCCTTGGCCCATATTGTTTTGTGTTCATGTGTCTCATGGCTATAATGCTAAATAAATGCTCCCTGTGAACGGTGATAAGACATGCAACCAAAGTGGAGCTGTTTGACAGTGGATCATCCTTTCGAGAAATCCCAAGGTGGTCATATTCCTATACACCATGTTGGGTATTGTTGGTATTTCATGCATGGGATCAGCTACCAGATTGAGTCGATGTCCCCTGCCCCTAAATGGCCACTAGCCTGGTGAAGATATTACAATTTTTGAAGGTACTACTTTGGGGGCAAGGATATAAGCAGGCTGTGATGGCAGTTGTATGGGGCATTGCTGTCAGTTATGTGTGCACAGAAGGCCCTTGGCCACACAAGGAAGGAACTACAATGGAAAAAGGCATATAAAGACTCCTTCCTGGGACCCAAAAGCTACAACCCACAGAAATACAGAATAAGGAGGAAGGAGAAAGCAGAAGTGACAGAAACTACTTTTTAAGTTCAATTTCTAATATAGTGGAAGGGACAATTCACAATACAGCAGGTCTTAATGACCAAGTGCAAGAATATGTGACAATCCAGGAATACTGTACACCTGAACTGTTTGAATCAGGACTTCTCTAGGTATGCATGTGTGGCGTAGGAACATGTACACACATCCAGTTGTGCTTACTTGTATAGCACATGTGAAGGACAGAAGTTGACACTGTGTCTTCATTATCTACTTTTTAAAAATCATATTAAAGTTATTTTATGTGTATGGGTGTTTTTTCTTCATGTACGAATGTGTACCACATCTGTGCCTGGTGCTGCAGAGGTCAGAAGAGGGCATCACATCCCCTGGAACGGGATTTATGGATTGTTGTGAGTCACTATGTGGACATTGGGAACTGAACCCATGGCCTCAGTAAGAGCGGCAAGCACTCTTACTCCCTGATCACCTCTCCAGCCTACTTTATCTTGTTTTGAAAGATGTATTTTTTATCCTTTAAAATATGAATATGTGCATGTATGTTTTTGGGTATGATGTGCATGGAAATACAGGTGCCTAAAGCACACAGAGGTGTCACACCCCCCTACAGCTGGTTGTGAGCACTCAGATGTGGGTGTTTGGAACTGAACTCAGGTTCTTTGTAATAACACTATGTGCTTTTAATTGCTGAGCCATCTCTCTAGACCCTCCACTTTATTTTTTGAGACAGGGGCTCTCACTGAAAATGAAGTTCTGCATTTCTTCGAGACAGGCTGGTAAGTAAGCTCAGGGATTCACTTCTTTGCACACCCCACAAATGGTGGGGTTACTGGCATTTGCCGTTACGCCTGCTTTTATAGGTCTGCTGGGGATCCATCTCCCCACCTCAAGGAAAGGTTGTTTTAGCAAAGCTTGAAATTATTTTTTGCAGCGTGACTCACAAGACTGTGGGACACAGAGATGTGTGATTGGCATGAATGCCCTGTAAGTAGAGAAATCTGAGGAATGCAACTAGCACTCCTCCTTGACATGCAGAATGTGTAACACGAGGGAGTATGGAGTCGCCCGTTCTGATTGACTGGGTCATAGAAGCTATTACAGATACTTGGTTGTTGACAGCTGAGGTCTATGAATGCCAAGAACTGAAGACTACAGAGGAAGAATAAGGATTAGAGAAATGGGAAAGGCCTCATAGGACTTTGTTTTCAGTAGAGTTAAGAAGCTAACTGAGTAAGGGATTTTAGGACCGAAGTTGGAGCTTTAGTGGTTTTATTGAAGCCCCATGATGGAATGCAACCCTTAAGGGGCAAGAGAGGTTGTGACAGGTAAAAATAATTTAGACTATCAAGTAAATCTGGTTTATAAAGTGGAAAAAAAAACCTAGATTCTAAGCAATAGTGAAGAGGCTATACTAAAGGCCCTTCTCCTATAATGAGATTGATGACTACCTTATATGCCATCCTAA